AGCCATGAATAGAAGGTGACCAATTACCAGTAGAGACCAACAGGCGCCATTACAGTTTCCATTAAAACCAATACAATTTTCATTATAACCAGTAAAACCATTACAAATTATGTGATACTTTCTGTTTTTTTTTTTCAACAGAGGATTGAAATAAATGTATTGTATGAACTAAAATACTTGAAATCTACATGAAAAGAGCAGAATGCTAAATGTATATGACAATGATAAACATAAACCTAGAATCTAGAAACCTGAAACAACAGAATTTTTCCATTTGATTATTCATATATATATGTGTGTGTGTGTGTGTGTGTCATGTTAATCAGACTAATCGCCTTAGGCTACTTCATTTACTCAATTTTCTTAATGGCTCTCAAATGTAACCCGTTGTAGAATCGCTGCTGTCTCTTTATGAATGAATGGAATATTCATGCCAGACAATGCGGAGTGATAAATAGCAGTGGACGCTCGAACCTGGGATTTTACTATAGTGCTATAGGCTACATGCTGTGTATAGTGAGAGAGGCGGGCAAGGGTAACCTGATGTAACTGTTCGCTTTTTTTCCTTTTAGCTTTTCCCAACCACCTTTATCTTCACGTCTTTTGCTTGCCATCACAAGCTCACTCTCCTTCGCGTCAGTTTTGGTTTGCATTGGGCGCTAATGCAAAAATAGATTGCATTAGTGCCCCCTTTTGTCGGCCAAATGCGTAGTTGCTCTAAGTGGTTACTTGTGGTTCTTAGGAGATTGCTAAGGCCTAAAATACTCCTATTGTCTACTTTCTGCCTTCGAATTCTAATAAAATCCACCCAGAGAAAACAGGGACGGACTGGGAGTAAAAAATGGCCCTGGATTTTCTCCCAAATAGGCCCACCACAACTAAAGACAGTCACTACTATCTCACATTATTACAGCAATCCTATCGCATTTATGGCAAACGACATAACAAAACCCATGGTGACCCTGCTGACAAAAACAATAAACCATCACAGAAATTCGAATGATTTCCACTACAAATACCATCAAAACATTACAAACCATCAACTTTTAACCATTAAAACCATTAAATAATGGTTTCCTGTAGTGTGTTTTGGGACATATCACATTAGGATTTAGTGGCTTTAACAAGAGCCATGAATAGAAGGTGACCAATTACCAGTAGAGACCAACAGGCGACATATTACATTAGGATTTAGTGGCTTTAACAAAAGCCATGACTAGAAGGTGGCCAATTACTAGTAGAGACCAACAGGCACCATTACAGTTTCCATTAAAACCAATACAATTTTCATTATAACCAGTAAAACCATTACAAATTATGTGATACTTTCTGTTTTTTTTTTTCAACAGAGGATTGAAATAAATGTATTATTGTATGAACTATAATACTTGAAATCAACATAAAAAGAGCAGAATGCAAAATGTATATGACAATGATAAACTTTTGCTTGCCATCACAAGCTCACTCTCCTTCGCGTCAGTTTTGGTTTGCATTGGGCGCTAATGCAAAAATAGATTGCATTAGTGCCCCCTTTTGTCGGCCGTCAATGTCACTTAATCTGACACTTTTTCTTTGATAATGAACCGGCCAGGTTCCACCGTCAGATGGACTTCTCCAGAACGTCCAGATGGCCAGTCCGCCCCTGCTAGAAGGGATACAGCTATGGCCAGAAAACAACAATAAATTAAATTTGCTACCTATTAGATTGTGCTTTATTAACGTCTACACCTACCCCAACCCAATACATAACCTTACAATAATGCAAATACAGTAATAAACTGTGATGCAATATTGATGTGCACATGCCCAGCAGGACAATCTGGCTGTAGCTGTATCTCATCTAGCCTTAACCCCGCAGCCAGAAAAGAGCCAAGATGGTGCCGCGCATGGCTGCCTCGGTTTGTAGCTTATATTTTTGTTTGTTTGTCCGACAGCGTGGTTTTAGGACTCTAAATCTGGCGAATCTCCGCTCCTTAGCAAATAAATCAGACGAACTACTACTCCTCACCCACACAAACAAGGACTTTTTAAACTGCTGCGCTTTGCTTCACGGAAACCTGGTTGACCGGAGCCATCCTGGACAGCACGTTACATCTAACGGGCTTCCAGCTGTTTCAGAGCGGACCGCGTCACCGAGTCGTCGGGGGAAACGAGAGGCGGTGGATTATGTTTTTATATCAATGAAGGCAGACATGACAGTTTTGAAGAAGATGTGCTGCCCAAATTTGAAAGCTCGCTTTATTAACTGTAAGCCTTTTTATTCACCGCGGGAGTTTTCCTCGTTTATTCTGGTGAGTGCGTACATTCCTCCTGATGCGTGTGTGAGGGTGGCTCTACAACAGCTGGCTGATCAGAACACACACACAGAGCAGTGTTATCCAGACTCTTTCATTATCATTCTCTGATTTTAATAAAGCTGATCTCACCCTCGAACACCAGAGACAGCAATACACTGGACCATTGCCTCAGTTTTAAAGGATGCATACACACTCTGTCCCCCTGGGACTCTCTGATCACTGTTTGGTTCATCTTCTTCCAGCCTACAAGCAGAAACCTTAAATCTGCTAAACCTGTAGTAGGGCTGGGCGATATGGAAAAAAAAATTAAATCTCGATTTTTTCCACGTTTGACCGATTCTCGATTTTTAAAAAGTCAACTTGAAAATGTTACTACAATATGATTCAAGTAACTTTTTCTTTATTAACCCTCTAGTTAAAGAAATTTATATTCCAAGTGCACCACACATGATGTAAATGTTAAACAAATCACTTGTTAAATATCTTTGCAAAAAAGATGCATGAACTACAACTACATCTTGTACTAACTTGTCTTATACATATTTTATGTTCAGAAATAATGCAAGGAAAATGCTTTAAAATTCAAGGTAATTCAAATTCAGAATGTCTGAAGGTAAAACACCAGTAGACTATTATTAACTATAAATGTTCTGTAAAAACAATGAACAGCCGCTTTCAGCCGGTCACCATTATGCAAACATGAAATATTAGACATATAGTAGTAGTCCTTTACAGATTTGTATCTCATGATAAAACGGCATTCTAAAAACACGGCGCTCAGGTTCAAAGAACTCCTATCTTCCTGCATTTTTTCGAATTAATCTATAATATCGGAAAAATCGCCCAGCCCTAGCCTGTAGTGAGATCTGTAAGAAGATGGACTAATGAAGCAGAGCAGGATTCACAAGCCTGTTTCGACTGCACTGATTTGGGTGTTTTTGAGGCTGCAGCCACCGATCTGGATGAGCGCACTGACACCGTGACGTCCTACATCAGTTTCTGTGAGGACATGTGTATTTAACATTTAACAACGATACACCTTGGTTCAGTACAAAACTCAAACAGAGGACGCCTACAGGAGTGGGGACAAAGCCTTGTACAAACAGGCCAAATACACACTGAATAGGGAGATAAGAGTGGCTAAGAGAAGCTACTCTGAAAAGCTGAAAAACTGTTTTCAAGCAATTACCCTGCATCAGTGGGGAAGGGCCTGCTACGAGACCCCATCCCCCAACACTGAGGAGAATTAACTTTTAGCCTACGGTTTGAATGAGTTTTACTGCAGGTTTGAAAAGCCTGGTCTCACACCCCACACACGCTCTGACCATCTCACAACACAGCCATCAACACCCTCCCTCCCCCCTACTGCCTCTCAGCCTGCACTTCAGATCTGTGAAGATGATGTATGCAAAGTCTTCAGGAAACAGAAGATAAGGAAAGCCAAAGGCCCAGACGGTGTCTCTCCAGCCTGCCTCAAAGCCTGTGCTGTCCAGCTGTCATCCATCTTCACACTGATCTTCAACAGATCACTGGAGCTGTGTGAAGTCCCCTTCTGCTTCAAACGCACCACCATCATCCCTGTACCCAAGAAACCAAAAATCACAGGGATAAATGACTACAGACCTGTTGCTTTAACATCTGTGGTCATGAAGTCATTTGAAAGACTGGTGTTGGCCTACTTAAAGGACATTACCGGACCCTTACTGGACCCCCTGCAGTTTACTTACTGAGCAAACAGGTCTGTGGATGATGCAGTCAACATGGGATTGCACAACATCCTGCAACAGCCGGACAAACCAGACACTTATGCAAGGATCCTGTTTGTGGACTTCAGCTCCACTTTCA